CCCTTTTGTAATCCTCAGAACAGAATAATACCCGTTTCCGTGCAGAACTGCAGATGACCATTCCCCTACATTTCCGTCACTCCCCAGAAAAGAGATGATGGCCAGAACTTCCAACATCCTGAATAGGAAATGCTGAACGCCGAAGAGACTGCGACGGGAAATGTAGGGGAAGGGTCGTATTTGGCTTGATGAAAATGAATATTGTGGCTTCTGCATTTCCACACTCCCCTCCTCTCCCCCAGAGAGCTGATCTCTCAATTCCACAATCTAATACTTGGCTGTAGTAGTTGATCGGATGTACATAAGTTCCCGGGTCGTGTTGAGAAAAACTTCCTTCCGTTGCCATGGCATGCCTCGGTGTTGAACACCCTAGTTACAGATTCGCTCTGATGTTTCGGTCGAGGCTTCCGCACTCCGCGCTGAACAAGCCGACCATCGTCCACTGCAGGTGAGCTACAACTTTCTGATGTTTCATATCTGTATGAAACGTCCAGTAAATCCCAAAACTCATTTAGTGCTGGAGTTGGGAGGTCAGGCACATTCATTGCAATCGATCGTCTTCTACAAACGATACAAATCGATCGGCCTATCGACGTCTTTGGAATTGTGCACGAAATGCGATACGAGCGATGTCATATGGTTCAAAATGAAGTGCGTAGGCTTTATTCTTTTCGATTCTATATTTAACAATCTGAACATATAGCTAGTAGAAGTACGCGCTCCTTGAGAGCTACACGTCCTTTTTGCACGGCTCTAGATTCTTAAGAGCTGCATTTCCAGCCCGGATGCGGGGGTTTTACACAACGTTACGAATGTCTAAGTAGATTTGTGAGGCGAGCACTTAGGTGGGCGGACGACTAACTCGTCGCAGCCTGATTATGTATTCGAAGAGACATGACGCACGGGAGGTGCTTGATACGTCCCCTCACGCAAAAGCACTCTTCCAGCTAAACGAACCACCTTATGACGGGGACTTGAAGGGAGGCTATTTTCGGATTCCGCTTAAGGATGTTGAAGTCGTAGCGCCGGAAGCAACCCGAATTCGAACTCGAATCGTATAAGAACTGCTTCCGCAGCAAATTTTGAAGCGTTTGAAAATAGTTCGGAGAAAACTGCTCGAAATAGATTGTGCAAAGATTGTGCAAAAACTCGGGAAATTTCACGACTCAATGAACTAACTTGCTGGGTCTGCAAATAGAAGGGTAGAGTAATTGGTCAGCCCTAACTGGATGCGCCTACGCATCCGTCTCCAATCAAGAAGGCATCCCATAGTAACGCTTACGAATGCAAGCCTATATTGAAGAGCACTGTTTCATCTTCCGATGGAGGCCTGCTGCTCCTGAACGCCAAAGGAAACCTCTGATGATGGTTCACCACGTGAGCCCAAGAATACATTTCCAGGCCCAACACTCGAATGAGGAGCCATAGCTGCCTGGCTATAGCTAGGACCAGTCTACTATGTACAGTTATTAGACACTGGCCGCGAATGTTATTGCTCAGTGTGGTATTTATTAGGCATATTCATTGACGAGTGGGTCAGGGCAAATGGGCCGCTGCTCGCCAGGAGTAGAATGATAGCTACCGTCGCCAGCCAAACTCAGTCAGCGCCTAAGCTGCTAGGCCCTTGCTGACGGAGGCTGGCGGCCGGGAAGGCACCAGAGAGCTTGGAGGCGTTTCTCTGCTTTGTCCCGCAAATCGCACTGGCACATCCAAAGGTGTTATCAAAATTACTAAATTGGAAAGGAACAAAAAGGGTTGTGAACCCGCAAAGCGCCCAGGAAGCTGTGTAAGCTTTTATGAGCACTTGGCAGGGTGCCAGCTTTATCCTTAATCCATCCCCCTGCCACAGATCGAAAACTTTAGAATATATAGTTGGATATCAATCGCCAATATTCGGGCGAGCGCTATGACCTACACAATCGGTTATCAGGAAATGGCGGTACTCCGGTGCTTTTCATTTGCCTCCATAGTAAAGAGGACTACCGCGTTCACTCTTGGGATGGAAAGTCGAAATGGTGACGAAACAGATATCCTGTAACTTCTGAAGTGGTGGCCATTGGTGAATCAGAGCCTATTCAGGGCAACGGCCAAGTCGCGTTTAATCATTTTCCTGCAAAAACACGACCCCCCGCTGTCGATAACATGCTAGCGCTACGCAATTTTCCCGTACGAGCTTATTCCACAACTTTGTCACGCACCTTTTTCCAATTTATATGGATTTTCGTCGAGCGGGGGCGGGAGAGGGGGGGGCGTGTAAATACCACCAATGTGAAACAGAAAAATTCAAGATTTCGGCCCTAACCTCCCACCGACCGGAAATTTCTTTCTGTTTTTTCCGCAAAATGCCAGATTGATCATCAGATGTTTGGCAGTTCCTCTCTCCACAATCGGCGGCATATACGATCCCCCTCCCTGGCGGTCCAGAAGAGAATACGGACCACGCCGTTGTGATCATCACGAAACGATGGCGTGCCTAGCTGGTCTTCCTCTTTTCACAGCGATCAGAGAGTTTGATTTAGGAAGAAAACAACCACTAGTGCAGCCACGGGTGGGCTTATTCCATCCCTTGACACCGCCCCTAGTCACTGCGATGACAGCTATACTTATCGTTATTAGCTGGTGTAGATGACAGCGAAAAACCTGGCTATGTACTATTCGAGATTCGTTAAGGGGGTCTTATAAGGCGCTGGCGCGATACTTGCATCCTTAAACTTCATAGTGGGAGAAAAGATAAGAATGAGCTGAACATGAGTTACCGTGTCCCAAATTCTTGGCGCTATTCGCTAGTGATGTCTGCCTCCAGGTGAAAATTGAATAAGAGCGGAGGCGCGGAAGATGAATAAGAAAGACGGCCTTATTCTTTGAACTTTTCAGCAACAATACATCTTCATCCACCACTGTATCCTTCATGCCATCGAGTCGATAGCTTCAGAACGCTCAGGGACAGCAACGGAACTCCACCAGAATCCGGTATTCGAAGACGATACGATCGCAGAGTCCGACTTCTAGCCTAACCGATCACACCTCCCACTCCTGCACTTCTCACCACGATCTACACAATACAAAGCCTTTCAGTTTTGACAGCGCCGCTATTCAACGACTATATTTATTACTGCTCTTTCTGACGGGTTTCTCGGTTCATTCAGCTGGAGTTATTCCACAGCACGCGCACATTTTTCGCACAGAGTTGACCTCATACATTATTTAACGATAAGACTGAAATCATTCACGGGTTTTTCATCATTAGGTATCATAGATTTTCTAAAGAGTTTATTATTGATCGGTTCGCTTTGCAATGTAAATGTTAATGTATGTATATTCAGTGCCTTTGAATACAGAATAAAACTTATTGAATAGAGTTTTTTCTTATTCCATGCGTCGGCGATGATGTGAAAGGGTTGTAAAACAAGTTGCCAGGCAATGACTTTTTCAAGGAACTAATCACCACTGCACTAAGTGCTTCTTGTCGTATCGAGAATGTGAGGAAATGAAGTTATGGTGGGGGCGTAAAGCCACAGCCGCTGCCGTCCAGTCACATTCAAGGGTAATATCCGCATAGTATTTCCTGTCAGTTCATTTTACAGCATACTAATTACTCTGAAATACGTTTCCAGTAATTCAGCTGCAGCAATCTTGAAAAAAGAGACGTTATAGCTCGTTAAAATCATAGGGTAGCACACAGAAATGGGAATTTTGTAGTGACACCCTTCTATAATATTAGGTTATCCGGAAAGTTTTAAGAAAATTTCGCTCTTCTAATTTGAAGGAGAATAGCGAGCGAGCGATCGCACTTACATAAAACTCTTTATGAAATGCGGTGAGAAAGAGAAATGTTTGTGAGAGTAATAGCCAAACGAAGCGATCGACACAACATAAACAAATGTTTACCAAATGCGATGAGCTAGAAAACTTTCGTGGATGGATGTACGCGGATTCGTTTGGTCTTTATTCGTCATCTTTGATTCGAGTCAGCGCTGACTGAAAAAGGGCCAGCGCCACGATTTAGAACGCCCTTCACTTCATCTTCACCGTTCTGGCTGGTTTATCAGCTTAACTCGGAATAACAAGCACTGTTGCCAACGTCAGATCACAAACCACTCTTCGCAGAGTTAATTCTATACTTCTGCGTCAACGAGGTTTGTAGGTGGAACTTTATTTGCGGCCTAACGTTTCGACCAGATCGTCGTCCTCAGAGGCCTGAACGTAGCTCAAGATTTTTAATTTGCTCTCTACACCGCCAAACGCCTTGTCGCCCCAGCGTTTCCGACGGGTACTTCCAGGAACAACCAAAACCTCCCGTAGGTAAAACATACTCACCGAGTCCACCGCGGATGAGCGCCATCAACTCCGCCTCCACTACAATATTAGTGATGAGACACCGGCTTTCCTTGTTAGTGGCTATCAGGCACTTGAATCTCACGGCTTACATCCATTTAGCTCGCAATGTGACGTGAAAACGGTAAGAGATCATTTGTTATGGCTAAACACTCATTTCGGTTATTCATCCTAGGATTTCTTGCGGAAAATCCAGAATGCCTCTAGCGCTTTTCTTGGCGGAGATCTCAGTCTCGTACGCTAGGATCCTGCACTTCACATCAAAATCGCTTCCGCGGTGCTCTTCGATTAGATGCTTCCCTAACGGTGTTGTTGTGTTACCACGCCTTTTACCAGCAAGATGTTCTTTGATACGTGTTGCCAGTGGCCTACCAGTCTCCCCAATGTATGTTGCATTACATGTCTGGCATTCGATTTGATAGATCCACGCCAGCTTTGGCGCAATCTCCTGCTTTACCGTTAGGACATACACAATGATCTGATATGCAGTGTCTGTCGTAGAGTCTGTTACGTACAAGCTGGCGCCTGATGCTGTCATTAGGGATGTTCACTAAGACCACATCATCCTCCAGCCCTGTCCGAGCCAAACATCTTCGAATAGCAGCACTTAAATTATCAGATATGAACGGTAT